GGCCGTGGGGGTCCATCATAGTAGGGGTCATCATAGTAGGTGCATGATTATGTCTAAGGAACGAGCCACTTACTTTACTGCTTTCTCTGATCATCGTGATTGGAGAGACGAAGGGCCATGAGGAAGAGGGATGTATATTTAACCAAAAATATAGTATATTATTTTCAAAATCTCAATGAGTGCTTTCACTTTACAGGTCCTGAGCCGCACAGTAGACCAGAACAAGAGGGAATGTCCTCATCAAATGCTGTCTCAGAAACGCCAGATTCTGGAACATGTGGCGGCGATAATGGAGCAGACAAAAGAAGAGATTGTTCAACAAAAAGAAGACATTCTTATCAACGTCACAGCGGTCGCTGAACAGGCGGCCAAAAGAGAGTTTGCTGAACAGAGAGAAGACCTTCTAAACAGGGTTACTGCCACGACTGAACAGACGAAAAGTGAGCTTGTTCAACAAGAAGAACGCATTCTGAACAACCTCACTGCGATCGTCGAGTCTTTTGGAGCCAGTTTTGAACGCAAGCTGGGCGATTTGAAGATCAAGTTACAGGTGAGAATCTCTCGTAGTGTTTGACCTCCAGTGTTGACAAGCAAACATTTTACCAAGGGTTTACTGGTCTATATATAGCACGGAAATACATTTAATCTAACAGTGTGTACAGCTACTGTCACTTTTTACTGTGCTGAATAATGGATATTGAGCTCATCATGCTTTCCTCCTTTGTCCCCTTCTTTTTCCCTCCATCCCTCCATCTCTCTCACACACTCTTTCTCTTTCTCTGTCTCCCTCTCTCTCTCCTCCCTCCCCCCTCCCTCTCTCTCTCACTCTCTCTCTCTCTCTCTCTATTTATCTATCTACATCTATCTATCTATCTATCTATCTATCTATCTATCTATCTATCTATCTATCTATCTATCTAAGAGAAAGAGTGAAAGAGATAATGCCACAGTTGATAATCCTGTAAGGACAATTTTTCATTTTTCTGACCATGAATTAAAAATAATTATACTTAGACTTGCATGAATTCCAATCTGAAAATCCACATAAGAAAGAACTGTTTTGAGCTCTCTTCCAAGCCCCAGATGAGATTGACATAAGTTCGTATTTCCTGGTCAGTGTATTATTTAATGTATTTTGAACTTGAGGAAAATGACACAGTGATAAACTGAGAAATTTGTGTCCGTGTAATAATACATTACAAAAAAGTAGGGGGAAAAAACACATCCCTATCGTACTCTTGACCTTATTTTGAACCAGTTTGTGTATTGCTTTTCAGGCTGAACAATAAACCATACAATATTACTGTCTGTCAAGCGTTGTGAAGTTTGTCATGTGGTTGGCCCCAGACTGGCCGATGTTCAAGCCCATAGAGACAGGATACTAAGGATTACATTTATTATTTATTACAAATTGTCGCTTGTAAAGTCAGGCTCATTGGTTATTGATTGATTGCTAAAGCCAACGTCTAATCTGCCCGTAGTTAGTTAGAGTGAGTACGGCTTATTAAGAGCTATTAACACACGCACACATACACATACACAAACACAAACACACAGACAGATAGACAGATGGACACACACAGAGACAGACACAAACTTGCACACACAGAGAAAGATAGACAGACACAAACATACGTACATACAAGAACATAGACATAAATATAATATACACTTAATATATACAAAAGACTTGCACACACACACACACATTTTCACCCACATAACATTATCTCCCCTCTCTTTTCTGTCTGTCTGTCTGTCTGTCTGTCTGTCTGTCTGTCTGTCTGTCTGTCTGTCTGTCTGTCTGTTTGTCTGTCTGTCTGTCTGTCTGTCTGTCTGTATATATGTATGTATGTATGTATGTATGTATGTATGTATGTATGTATGTATGTATGTATGTATGTATGTATGTATGTATGTATGTATGTATGTATGTATGTATGTATGTATGTATGTATGTATGTATGTATGTATGTATGTATGTATGTATGTATGTATGTATGTATGTATGTATGATCATTCCATCCATCCAATCCATCCATCCTTCCATCCATCCATTGATCCATCTATCTATCTATCTATCTATCTATCCATTCATCCATCTATCTATCTATCTATCTATCTATCTATCTATCTATCTATCTATCTATCTATCTAAGAGAAAGAGTGAAAGAGATAATGCCACAGTTGATAATCCTGTAAGGACAATTTTTCAATTTTCTGACCATGAATTAAAAATAATTATACTTAGACTTGCATGAATTCCAATCTGAAAATCCACATAAGAAAGAACTGTTTTGAGCTCTCTTCCAAGCCCCAGATGAGATTGACATAAGTTCGTATTTCCTGGTCAGTGTATTATTTAATGTATTTTGAACTTGAGGAATATGACACAGTGATAAACTGAGAAATTTGTGTCCGTGTAATAATACATTACAAAAAAGTAGGGGAAAAAACACATCCCTATCGTACTCTTGACCTTATTTTGAACCAGTTTGTGTATTGCCTACTGCCGCACTATTACGGCCAAACCAACTTCACCCCCTCATTCTCCACAGCCTTTTATTCAAACTCTTCCTGTGTGGATTTCTCTACAGCCCAAATCGTGCTCTGAAGCGCATGATCTTGGCCCCCGACCTGTAATTGTCCTGTCTGATGGAATGAAAGTAGTCTGCGACACTGTGACAGACCACGGTGGCTGGATTGTTATACAGGTTAGGTTGGCATTGTTTGTTTTTAGTCATAAAAGCTGTATGTAATGAAGGTGATATCTGCGATATTTTAGTGGAGTTCATGTTAATGCAACAATGGGGAAAGTGATATCATTTTGATGTAATGCATGTTGTGTACAATTCAGATGATATTCACATTATTTTACTGCAATACAGGTTAACACAATACAGGTGAGATCAGCACTACATAACTAAAACAGACTGATACAATACAGATGAGATCAATATCATATAGCTTTTTCAGATCAAATTAAATGTACACATAAGAAATACAAATACCACCTAGCAAGTTCAAATACCACACAGAAAGTTTCACGCCGCATAGAAAGTTCAAATGTACAATAGAAAATTTTAGTGCACGATTCTTCGTAACAAGTTCAAATGTACAAATAGCAAATCCAAATGTAACACAATAGCATGTTAAAATGCCACATAGCAAAAGCAATGTTATTAATATCCTCCACAAAGATTATTCAGCGTAAGAAGCATTTTAATATGCTCAAACTGAGTTGGCGACAACAAGTTTCATTTTAGGGTGAATTGATCACCATTAAAAATAATCCCGAGGATGATCTCGCGGAAAGAAATTCTGCCAGGACTGAACCAGCCAGACATTAGTATGCAGCAAAGCTGATGTAGCACAATTACCTGATGGGATTTGTTTTCATCGATGAGGCCGGTAGCCCATCTAGCTGTTGACGAAGAAAAACCGAGGAAGAGCACGGCGTAGTCAATGCTTTGTTCAAGTATTGCAGGATCGAAGGGGACCGAACCACGCGCTGACATTTGCTATCAGCGCCGAGGGTGACCTGGTCTTTCACGGCTTCCAAGTACATGTAGAGGGAATGGCTGCTATCATTTCAACTCATCCCTCACAGAAACTGTTCCAACAATCCCCACAACGAAGTATGCTTTGTGTGTAACAACGCTCGTGCATTAAGGCAAGCTTTAAATGGCAACTCATCAATCGATTAGGGGTGAAATATCTTTCCCCCATACACCTTTTCATCTACGAGAACGCTTGTGAATTTGGAATTACGATTTGAAACCGAGGCTCGGTTAAGCAAAAGACCAAATGCTCACTTAGCAGATTCATCAACAAAGGATGGTCACACTTACCCAGAAGATGGAACAACCCCCCCCCCAACCCCCCCCCCCCCAAACAAAACAGGCATTGACTAGAATAAATGACAGCAGCCTTCAGATCATCAATGCAAGCCAATGCCGAAGCGTCTTGTAGTGCAGTAATATATTGTGTGTGGATTTCAATCATAACCATTCTTTGGGGGTTTTTTTTAGCTTAGATTATTTATTTTCATTTTCATTTTTATTTCAATTTTCTAATTTTTGCTTCATTTAACAGTTTCGTTTCATCAAACAGACTCCAGGTGAGATATCTTGATACCTGCATACTTTGTCTTACCATCTCTGAAAACGTTTCATAATTTGGAAATACGATTTAGTGGCGTCGGTAGCCTAGTGGTTAGGCTATTGGATCTATAATCGTGAGATTCAGGGCTTCGATCCTCAGTTTTTGGGACACATGAATAGACATATTAAGATCTTGAACATTTAGCTCTCACTGGAAAAATTGAAATCAAACGAGACAGGGGTAGGCCCAAAGCAACCTACTTAGGAACCTGAACAAATCGGTAACATGGAAAGATCAGGGTAACGTAGCATTTTAAGAGCACTCGAGCAAAGAAATGAACGGAGAACCATCATCGGTGATATCTGCCGCAAGTCTTACACTTGGTGATGATGATGATGATGATGATGATGATGATGATGATGATGATGATGATGATGATGATGATGATGATGATGATGATGATGTTGATGAACCACGTATCTTAATAAATGTTCTCACACTGTTATTGGACGTGTTTCATGATAGCAGGCCTCACAAACTGGCGCAATGATCTGTTATGTCTACAGAGACGTGCTTCTGCGGCCGTTGACTTCTATCGTGACTGGGCAGATTACAAAAACGGATTCGGCGACTTTTCTGGAAACTTCTGGTTTGGTTTGGAGAAAGTCCACCAGCTGACCAGCCAGGCAAGTTGTGCTTTTTTATTGGCGGATGCTCTGGTGTAGTTTGCCCCTTCTTTCCAATCGAACATTATATCTCTTCTCCTTTTATTTGTATGTTACTATCCTTGTAACACTTCTTATCTTTGGCACTTACATGACCTAATTGTGCTGCAAATGCCGTACAGCTATTAATAAAACTAGTACAATGTACTGTCAAAACGACAAATGAAACGTAGCTCTGAGCACCGTTGCTGTCATCGATGTTGATGTCCCTTTTGCTGTAGTTATCGTTCCTCGTGAAATTAGTTTGGTCTGCCAATCTCAACATAATGATCACTCTGTTTATTGGTAACACTATCAAGAGCAGGAGTCGCAGTATACGTTCTCGGGTCTGTCCACCCTCGGATGTGTCATGTCAAATGTGGACGTTAAATCAGACTCTTAAAACCTTACGGTATTTTGGAATTTACATTAAACCCATTTACATTAAACCCATACCAATGACATCTTGGCTTTGTAAACATAGTAGTGGTGGTAATCGGAGGAAGCGGAGGTTTAAATTTGCTTTGATGGTAGCAGGGGCAGGGTGGAGCATGCAGCGTTGCAGCCATTTAGTCTCTTTGAGTGCCAGTCTGGTGTTTGTACAGATTTCATGTACAGAACGATTCGAAAAGAGTACTCCAAAATCATCACGCTATATTATTTCAAAAGCGAAAAACAATAGAAAAATCTAGCTTGGACACATTTGTTGTACACACCTTCAAGTTTTTATTTCAAGTTTTACAAGTGCTTAATGTGGTCACCAACGAAAGCACGGACAACATCAAGCCGATATGAAAATTCCCCTCAAAAGCGCCTCAGAATGTCTCAGGCAACCGTGTTCATTTCAGTTGTTATTCGATCTTCCATGTCATGAATAGTTGCTGTATTGCTCTTGTTATGATATGTGAAGCATCGTGGTGAATCAGGCGCTTGTCAAAATAATGAAATCCAAGAAATCGGCCATTTATTGGCAGATGGGTAATTTTCTAATTTTCTCTTTTTTTTCTCAACACCTTTTATGTTAATTTAAAAACATTTTTGTGTGGATTTTATTGAAAAACATTGATTAAAGGCACAAAAAAAACGTATTTTTTCAGTTTCCAAGGATATTCAGGAACTGAAAGTTACCGCACTTTGGCGGCTATTTCTCACTAATTCTACCGCTGAAACCAGGCGACCCCACCTCCTTCAATCTCAAATATCTCGACTTCTATTCAAGATAGAAAGGTATTTTTTCCACCGAAAGCAATACAACTGAACACGCTTTAAGATGATACTAATAACTCCACATGCTCAAGAAATAAACCTTGTCGTGACACATATATTATATTTACAGGCAGTTCTAAAGCCCTGTACATGATTCCCGTGATACAACACTCGGCAGAGAGGAGTTTTTGAGAATAGCCAAATCATTCAGATCAGACTTGGATCTGAACCTGTAGCCCGCGTAAAGGCTAGGCAGTTTCCGCCTGAGACCAAAAAAATCTGGTTTTTGTCTGTGTTTAAATCAGGCGTAGGCTTATCTTTATAACAGTTGATATGACTTTCCTCTTGTTCTCATCCCCAGGACAAATACGAATTGAGGATCGATATGAAATACGAAGGAGACGATTACTACGCCAAGTATAAGAACTTTAAGCTGTCTGGAGAGTCGGAAAAATATAAAATTCAGTTATCTGGATTTTCGGGTAATGTGGATGACAAGATGTCATATCATGATGGCCAGGAATTCACCACCAAGGACCAGGACAACGATTTCTCCAGTTCAGTCAACTGCGCCGTTGATCGCCATGGAGCGTGGTGGTATGATTCGTGTCATTACGTGAACCTCAACGGATATTGGGGCAGCAAACGGTTAAAGGAGGGCATGAACTGGTACGGCTTAACGGGAGAGGACGATTCTGTCAGTTTCAGCGAAATGAAGATTCGACGTCTATCAGACTGACATCTTCACGACACCTAATGTTCAATCCACCGATTATATATTGTTTAGTTTGTCTAGATATTAATTACTTCTTTTGGATTTCCTGTGAAGGAAAGGGGAGCATACCGATTGAACAACCTCATAACTTTGATTGTGATGCTGCATGGGGCACATGTTTAGATAATGATGCTGTCGATACTGAAAATAGATATTGTGCATACTCTTCACCTTTTCCATCATGTGACCCTAATGGAAGTATTATGGTTTTAATGAATTGCAAAGAAGAATTTATTTTTCCTCACGTAGACAACAACAAGCACAAATGCGCACACTTGCACAAGCTTTGTACGCACACACACACACGCGCACGCACACACAATCACACACACACACATACACACACATATACACACACATACACACACACATGATAATGATATAATATGTAACATGTATACGCACTCTTACACTCACACAAATGCGCATACGCAAAAATCCACTTACATAATATTCAGACACATAAACAAACACATACACGCACACAGAAACACACACATAGAAACACACATAGAAACACACACATAGAAACGCACACACAACACACACACACACACACACATGTATACACACACGTACTCACACACACACACGCACACACACACACACACACACACACACACACACATATTTCTTATGTTCTTACAGTCACACAAACGTGTTTACTTGTACTGTTATTTCTTTGTAAGGAGGTGGAACCCAGTCAGAAATGTAGGGGAGAGTGTTGTTCTATGGACACCGGGGACCTATGGGCCACCCACAGAATTCTACACTTGTAGAACGGGAACTGTACCACGTGACCTGTGAGGAATTGAATACCGAAAACAATGGCGTCTTGAGGGCACGATTTATCGTTTTCGGAAGTAACCCTATAGCTTTTAAAGCAAGAGCGGCTTTTACAAACGAGTGAAAAGTGGAACATTTACTGTCCAGTTTGTAATTTTGAGTTACAGAATTCACTGTGCAACTAGAGATTGGAATTAAGGTTTTAAATTGTTGTGTTTTTGGGTGCAACAACAGAAAAGCAGACATAGAGAGTTTATAATTTTATATAAAATCTACAGAGCTGTGAAAAAATAAGTGTAGAATTCTGTGGGGCCACCCCATGTTCTGAGAAATGTGTATGCTCAATTGATCTCACAAAGCAACTTTTAGTTGTGTTTTGTTGCTCCGTTGTTTGTGTTTTCATCAACAGGCCTCATGGCTGCCATGTCACTGTGAAGATCTTTCATTTCAAAATATTGCTCCTCCGAGGTTATTTTGTATTATTATTAATTTTTTTTGGAGGGGGGGGGGGGTTAGCATTTCAAATTGTGGTGATTATTAGTGGGTTAAGATTTGTTAAAACTAGTTCTTGATACACTTTTATAACATACATTAAGTGTGTGTGTGCCTAGCACAGGCCATTCCTAAGTACATGTATATACCTGTGTCATTGGATTTATTGTGTCTTTACTTACTAAAATTTCCCTTGTCTTTCTATCTGTTGTATCACTCAGGAACGATTTAGTGATCTGTTTGGCAGAAGCATTTCTGCTCTTTCTTTACATGTATATGTATATATATATATATATATATAGGGTGAGCTTGCCAAATAAAAGCCTACAATAAACTTCAGCAAGTTGTTCCAAGGATCCAAGGTTGTTCTTCAGTTTTTCAAAATTCTGTTTATATTTACACTCTATCATTATGTTTTGCCCATGTCTAAGATGTTTTCTCAGACAGTTTCTTCTACTCAGCTTCAACAAGCTTACGTTTGGCTGAGGAAAAAAGGTTGCTTTTTAGAACAATCGGGATAACCCAGATTTAGGGGGTTTCCAGAAATCTTGACCTACTCCAAAAGTGGGCATTGCCCTACCTATAGAAGAAGTTTGGTTTCATTTGTGCATATATTTGTTTGATTATAGAAAAAAACTCTCCTTGCCTTTTAAAGAAACTGATCAAGGATGCAAAAACATTCTCTTTGATTTTCTCAAAACAGCATTTTTCAGGATAGCCCCCTTATGCTTAAAAGCGGCAAAATGTTGTTCTGTTTCAATTTCGGAAAGAGTTAGACCTGTACGGCGCTCAAAACACTACATAAGGTCACATGAGCTCGCAAGGCTCAAATTGAATATTTTCACGTTATTTTACAGCACGGCTTGCTTTTACATTATCAGGGATGAGCAGATAAAAGATTTTCTGTCTTAAACAGGTCAACCCCCCCCCC